TTTATCTGGTTTTGGGATTAGGATGATGCTGGCTTCATAAAAAGAGTTTGGAAGTCTTCCATCTTTTGGATTTTTTGGAATAGTCTGTGAAGGACAGGGTTAGCTCTTCCTTAAATGCTTTGCAGAATTCTCCTGTGAATCCATGTGGTCCAGAGCTTTTGTGTGTCAGAAGTTTCTTGATTACTGCTTCAATTTTGTCTGCTCTCATTGGTCTGTTCAGGCTTTCTGCTTCGTCGTCATTGAATTTTGGAAGATTATATTTTTTCTAGAGATTTGTCCATTTCACCTAGGCTTTCCAATTTCTTGGCTTATAATTGTTCATAGTAATATCTTACAATCCTTTGTATTACTGTGGTGCCAGTTTTCATCCGGCCTCTTTCATTTCTGATTGTGTTTATTTGGGTCCTATCTCTTTTTTTCTTGATGAGTCTGCTTAAGTCTTGTCAATTTTGTTTATCTTTTCCAAGAACCAGCTCCTGGATTCATTGATCCTTAGAATTGTGCTTCTAGTGTCTATGTCCTTTATTTCTGCTCTGATCTTGGTTATTTCCTTCCTTCTACTTGCTCTGGGCTGTCTTTGTTGTTGTTCCTCAAGTTCATGTAGACATAGGGTTAGTTTGTTTGTTTGAAATGTTTTTATCTTTTTTAGGTAGGCCTATATCATTATGAACTTCCCTCTCAGGACTGCCTTTGCTGTATTCCATAAGTTTTGGGTTGTTGTGAGTTCATTTTCATTTGTTTCCAGAAACTTTTTCATTTCTTCCCTAATCTCATTCTTGAACCATTCATTGTTTATTTGCATGCTATTTAATCTTCATTATTTTGAGTGTTTTGGTTTTTTTGTTTTCCCCATGAGGTTGCTTTCTAGTTTCAGTCCCTTTTGGTCAGAGAAAATGCTTGGTATGACTTTAATTTTCTTGAATTTGTTGAGGCTTGTTTTGTGTCCTATCATGTGGCCTATCTTTGAAAATGTTCCATGTACAATTGAAAGAATGTGTATTTAACTTCTTTGGGATGAAGGGCCCTATATATGTGAGTTAAGTCCATTTCATCTAGGGCATTGTTTAATGCCACATTATGTTTTTTGAGATTTTGTTTGTAAGATCTGTCAATTTTTGACAGTGGAGTGTTAAAATCCCCTACTATAATTGTGTTGCTGTCAATAGCTTTCTTGAAGTCCTCCAAGATATTCTTTATGTATTTGGGTTCTCCTATGTCAGGTGCATATATTTACAATGTTTATATCTTCTTGGTGGATTCTTCCCTTGATTATTATGAAGTGACCTTCTAGGTGTCTCTTTATGACCTTTTCTTTGAAGTCCATTTTGTCTGATATGAGTATTGCTACCCAGCTCTTTTTTCATGTCCATTTGCTTGGAAGATTTGTTTCCAGCCCTTCACTTTAAGCCTGTGCAGGTCTTTTATCCTGAGGTGGGTCTCTTGTAGGCAGAATATGCTGCATCATGCTTTCTTATCCATTCAGCTATTATATGTCTTTTGATTGGAGCATTTAATGCATTTATATTTAAGGTTATTATTTTTAGGTACTTATTCATTGCCGTTTTCATACCTGTGTTTCTCTCTCTCTCTCTTTTCCTTCCTTTCCTTAAAGCAGGCCCTTTAGCATTTTTTGCAGTGCTTGTTTGGTGGAGGTGTATTCTTTTAGACTTCTTTTGTCTGGAAGGTCCTTATTTGGCCTTCCATTTTAATTGTTAGCCTTGCAGCGTAGTGTAGTCTTGGTTGCAGGTCTCTGGTTTTCATTGGAAATGTTTCATTTCCTTGGAATATTCCTTTCCATTCCTTTCTGTTTTGGAGCATTTTCATTGAGAAGTTAGTTGCTAGTCCTATCCCGGCTCTCTTGTATGTTACTTCCTGTTTCTCCATTGCTGCCTTTAAGATTCTCTCTTGTCTTGAAATTTTGCCATTTTAATATGATGTGTCTGGATGTGGGCCTCTTTGTGTTCCTCTTGATTGGGACTCTCTGTGTTGCCTGGATTTTTGTGACTTTTTCTCTCATCAAATCAGGGAAGTTTTCCATTGTTACTTTTTCCAACAGGTTTTCTATCCCTGTCTCCTCTTCTCCTTCTGGTATCCCTATTATACAGATATTATTACATTTCATATTGTCCTGCATTTCCCTTAGTCCCTCTTCATTCTTTGTGAACCTCTTTTCCTTTTCTTTCTCTTTCTGGGTGTTTTTTTTCTACCTTGTCCTCCAGCTTCCTGGTCCAATTGTCTTCTTCATCTGGCCTGCTTTTGATTCTTTCTACTGTTTTCTTTAGTTCAGAAATTGTATTCATATGCTCTTGGCCCTTGTTGATAGTTTGTATTTCCTTTTTCATGTTGATATAGTTAGCAGTGAGTTCATTGTATTCTCCCTGTATTTTCTGATAATTTCTGGGAGCTCATCGAGCTTCCTGATAATCATTTCTTTGAACTCAATATCTGATAGTTGACTTACCTCTATTTGTTTTACCATTCTTTTTGAGGCTTTCTCCTTTCCTTTCATTTGGGGATTGTTTCTTTGTCTTCTCATTGTTTTTGAGATTCTTCTTGTTAGTATCTTCTTATTAAATTGATCTGTTCTGACTCCCTGAGTTAATGGTTTGAACTTCTCTGGTAGAATACCTGTGTGATTCAGTGGTGCCATCTCCTTGATCTTCTGAGCTCACTGGTCTTGAGCTGTCATTTATCTTGGCTCTGTGTTTGTCTTTGGGTTGGGTCTTTCTTTAGTGTGTCCTTCCCACCAGCTGGTTAGCTGAGTGTCGCTGTGTCCACCACCTCTTGCATTTTGTTGTGCTGGTGTGGGCAGGTTGTGTTGCAGCTCGTTCTTTTGTATGTACAAGGTTCTGATGATTCTTTCATTCTGTTGTTCAGTTGTTTGTTCTGAGTAATTTCTCCACTATTTAGTTGTATTTCCAGATAGGTCCTGGGTTGAGGTTACTGTGGCTTCAACTCCCTCCTTCACCTTCTTCCATTGTTATCTGTTGGTGGTTCCTTTGTTGGAGGGTTTCTTTTTCCAGCAAGTATGGTGGTGTTCACTGCTTCCACCTACTCTTTTTTGTGGTCAGTTGGAGGGGGGAAGCAAAATGGTTTAAGACAGTGGGTGTGTATTTTTTGATATTTAAAATATCAACCTTTAGGGAAGAGATAGGAGATCCTTTGTATATGTATAGTATTAACCATGATATTCCACCCATCTAACCACTTTTTAGAAAGGGTGGAAAGAAGATAAGACTCTTGTTGGTTGTGGGGGGGAGGGATTGTAAGTTGGATCTAGAAAGCAGAGAGCTTGTGGGAGGTCAGATTATGAGGCAAAGTGAGGGTAAAGGATAGAAAATATTTGTAGTGTGTGAGAGTTAACCACGACAGTAATAAAGTTCAAGAAACAGTGAAGTGGGCAGAGTTGCTGTGTAGTATTTACAATTGTATGGAACAGCAATTATTTACAATAATAATGGATCAGCAATCATATAGGACCTTGTAGTGTGCTAATGGAACACAAGTGAAATAAAAGACACTAAATTAACAGTATGTGATGAAAGAGAGAACAAGGTAAACCAGTCAAACAATACAATTTAACCAACTAAGCAAAGAAGACTAAACAGAAATAAGGGGAATACACAAATACTAATAAAATAAAAGTTGTAAAAATAATGAAAAAATAATAATACAAATATGCAATAACTTGCAGGTTCTCTGTAGTAGTGGAGTGAAATTTGTCTCACTGTCTCAGTTGTTGCGATGACCCCTCTTTGGGTCCAACTCTGGTCTTTTCACAGTTCCAGGGTTTTGTTTTTTTTTTTTTTTGGTCTCACTTGTGGGAATTAAAAAATAAAAGAAGGAAGGATGCAAGAAGAGATAAATTGGAAAGGAGGGAAGAAAAAATAAAACAAAGAAGGAAAGAGAGGAAAGTAGTTGAAAAATAAAAAAATAATAAAAGTAAAAAAATAAAGAATTACTTTTCAAAGCCAACAAAAAGCCTCTTGCTGGTTTCAAATTGGCAAAACCAGTTTAGCTGGTCTTCCTGGCTGCAGCAGGCTGAGGGGCAATTGGTTTAGCTTTCTGCCTTCTTGATCCACTCTCAATCAACCTACAGCCCAGTTCCCCCACAGCCTCTTGTCACTCAGGTTCCACAGTTTCCAGCATGTACTCTCCTTGGGGCTATGAGTGTGTGTGGGGGTTCCTCTCCCCAGGGCTTTGGGTGTGGGAGCCAGGGCTTCCTTAGAGCACTCTGTCCCTGGGTTGTGGGCATGTTTGCTCAGCCAGGCTGCCTCTGGTCCCTCAGGTTTGGGGGTCCACTCTTCCCAGGCCTACTGGAGTGTGTGCTGGGCCTTCTGCGCCACCTTGGGAGTGCCACCTTGCTGGGTGGGGAGGAGGCCAGAGTGGCTGCTACAGGAGAATTCCCCAAACAGTCTCCAAGTGTCTCTTTTTTCACTTGTTCTTTTTGAGAAATTCCTCCTGCTCAAGCCTGCCTCTCCATACAGAGACCTGGACTCTTGCACAACCCAATTCTCCAACCAGACTGGGGACTATGAAGGTCAGGCCCCATCATGGCCCAACTCTCAACTCTCCCCAGCCAGCATCCACAAACTCTGTGCATGCTCACAGCCCCTGTGTATTTGCCACTTAGTCCTTATTTCCCTCTCTGTGACTTCAAGCAACCAGGACTCTCCTGGTGCTGCTCAATCCTTGTTTGGCAGGGCAGGGAGCCATTGACCCAACTCTCTCCCAATAACCCTGTGGCAGACCTGGTGGGTGCCAGGCCTGAGGCCGCAGCTGCCCTGGTTTTCCCATGCTGGTCCCAGAAACTTTATTGTCCTGAGGCACTCGCCTTACCATCTGGTTTTTCCATGTCCTTTATAAGTTTTGGTCTCCTATCTTCATATATATACATACATACATACACACACACACACACACACACTGGCACACTGGGGTACTGTTGGCTGTTTTCTCGGTTCTTCTGTAGATCAGGTAGGTTTTTTTCTCATATGTAGGAGGAAGTGGAATCTGCTCCCTCCTACCTTGATGCCATCTTCAGTCCCAGTTATGACCTTTTTGAGGAAACCTGGTTCATTGGTAGCAATTTGAATAAAGGCATTAGCAACTGCAGTACGATTATCTTTGCTCTGGCAGCAGAAGCCACAGAGTGAATTTTGCTGCAACACATTTCATGCCAAGATCCTGTGTCAAAATTTTGGACACAGTAGTTTTTGGAATTCCCAGATCAGCTTCTAGTTCTTGCAGTGTCAGTTGCTGATCTTTGTTGATTGCAGCCCATACATATTCAACATTCTCAGGTGCTCTCCTTTTTGCAGTCTTTCCAGAATGTGGATCACTTTTAACAGATTCTTGACCTTCTTTGAAGCTTTTGTATCACACTTTTATTTGGGCTGCATCATCCACAAAAGCCTTCTGAATCATCCAAATAGTTTCTGCAGAGTAATGTTCCAGCTTAATGTAAAATTTGATGCAAATTTGTTGCTCTTCTTGCTCAGTCATTTTGAATGTAACAAACACACAGTGTACATGCTCACTCAACAGCATCTACCACCCCCACTGACTAGTACAATGGAGTCATCATTGTTCATGTATGCGACCATTATCATTATATTAACAATTGTTGGACTTTTTCTGGACAGACCTCATTGTATACTTCTTGAAAGAGTATTATTAGGAACAAGTTTTCCCCTAAGAGTCATCCCTATAATTTGAGACTCTTTACTGAGCCAGTTACACCAGGATGATACTGGGACATAGTGACCTTCCCAGGTGCTGTGGCTGCTAGCACTTGAATGCTCTTCACTTTCATCCTTTAAACTCAGAGTTGATGAAACATCAACTCTGAGTTTAATGATAACTTTAATGATAAAGGAAGTATGGGGGACCCAATTTGATATTCTTAGAGTATTTCTAGTTTTATAATTAATTCATGATGAGAACACCATTATTCAATAATATCCAAAATTGTGGAAATTATTCGTTTCAGACAAGCATCTCTCATCCTGTTATAGTTTTTGATTAAACTTACCAAGTTTTATTCCTCAAAATATAATAGCTTCATGAGCAATTGAAATCAGCCAGTTACATTGTTGTGTTTCTAATTCCAGGGTTTATGATAATATTTTTTTAATCAAACAGGACATAATGCTAGAACTCTTGGAGCTAGTAAAGATGATAAAATGTTTTAGCCACAGCAGGTGCTCTGCAAAATCCTTTATTAAAAAAAGCTGCCACACACAGGATCAGAATGTGATGGATTGTACAAAAATTAAGAGTGACTGTCTATAAATTTACAACATTTAATTTCCTCCCCTAATTACACAAATGGGAATGGCCTCCAAAGAAAAGCTGACTAGCACTGGACAAGAATGATTGTATTCCCCAGGAACAGAGGAAGGATTCTTGACTCAGTGTTCTCACAATGAGAGTACTTGAATTAAATTATAAGCTGACAGCAAATGATAGCTGACAGTAGTTAATTAAAAGCATCTATTTTGTGTTATTCTTTGACTTCTATTTTCAGCTTGATATGAGGACTTTTCCAATTTTTTTTGTGAGTGTCACTAGACTTTGTAAGCTGTCCTGTTGTCAAAGTTAAAAAATTAAGATGGTCTACTTGCAGCCCTCAGGAATGCTCAGAGTAATTCCAAATGTGATGGCATGTGCCTAGCATTGACTAAGAAAAACTCAATAAGCAACATTGAACAACTCCATGATTGCTGGAGAAGATGCTGAAAAACTTGATAGTTTACCCTTGAACAATAGGGGTGGGGGTGTGGTGGGTTTAGGAGTGTCAACCCCTGTGCAGTTACAAACCCACATATAACTTTTGACTACCCCAAAACTTAACTACTCATAGCCTACTGTTTACTGGAAGACTTACCAATAACATGAACAGTTAACAGGTGATTTGTGTGTTATGTATATTATATACTATATTCTTATAATAAAATAAGCTAGAAAAAATTTATTAAGGAAATTATAAGGAGGATAAATTATGTTTATAGTACTACACATATTTATTGAAAAAAACCTGTATATTAGTGGGCCTGTGAAGTTCAAACTTGTTTTAAGGGTCATCTGTACCTTATCATGTTCATTCTTGCACAGAGGGAAAGAAATGAAGTTATGTCTATCTCCTGTAAGAGGTATTTAATGACCCAAAAGTACGACAGAAAAACAGATGAATATATTTTTTAAATCCTTTTGAGATGAAAGAACGGGAAGCCATGCCAAGAGGATGATATCTGAAACAGAATTTTTCAGAAATAGTAATGCACTCAAACAAATGATTGTGCAGCTAAATAAGCCTACTCCCACATGTTTGTTCACCTCCTATTTGTCATTCAGGTCTTTCCCACACTGATTCATATGGAAAGACTTGGGTATTTCCTTCATCTAGTAGACTTCCAACTTTCTTTTTCCTTTAGAACTGTGAGAAGGACTTGAATAGGACACATATTCTCACCCATATTTCATATGTCTCCATATACAAACATAGCAGACTTCATTTTCTCACTGTTCCTTAACTACATCTATATTTCTTATCCCAATAAATCATTCTTTTAATTACTTTTCTCTACTAGTGTGAATAACATTATTAGTAATAGCATGGACTTCAGAGCCAGGAAGCATTGTGGTTTCCTGGCTAGGTGATCTTGGGAAAGTCACATAACTAAATCTCTTTTGCAAAAGGGTGATGTCAGTATTATCTCTTCTCAAAGAGTGTTTCTGAAGATGAAATGAAGTTATGCATCTATAACTAGTATATAGAATGCTCCCACTAAATGTTAGCTACGATTATTTACCATTATTATAATTATCAATTAACTAAGATCTGAAATCATCAGGCTAATAAGAAATTACATTTGCAGAAGCAGAAATTGGTAATAAATTACAAAACTCTTTCAAGAAGACAAGGAGAGTCCTCTTTATTCATATTATACTCCTTTTTTTTTCAATAGCTAGTGTTAGGGGTTGGTGATGTCAGAAAGAGAGGGTAAGACAAAGGGAGGAAAGGTGAGAAAAATGAAACAGCGAAATGAAACTGTTGTTTCAACAGTTTTGTTGAAACAGAAGATGAAATGGAGAATTCCAGAGTGTAGGGAAGGAGAAAGAAAGGGGTACATAATTCTATTTTTTAATCTTTATTATATATTTTCCATTACCATTTAGTCCCCTTATAACCCTCTACCCCCAACAATCACTACACAGTTGTTCATGTCCGTGAGTCCCTTTTCCTTTTGCTCAATCCTTCCACTGTCTAACCTGCACCCACCAACACTAGCTGTCATCTGTTCTCCATCTATGAGTCTGTCTCTGTTTTGCTTGTTAGTTCAGTTTTTTCATTTGGTTCCACACATGAGTGAAACCATATGAAATTTGTCTTTGTCTAACTAGCTTATTTCACTAGGCATAATGTTCTCCAGGTCCATCCATACTGTTGCAAAGGGTAAAATTTTCTTTTTTAGAGTGAGTAGAATTCCATTGTGTAAATGTCCCATAGTTGCTTTATCTATTGATGGACACTTGGGCTGGTTCCATATCTTGGTGATTGTAAATAATGCTGTGATGAACATAGGGGAGCTTATGTTCTCTCAAGTTAGTGTTTTTAGTTGTTTTGGATATATTTCCAGAAATGGAATCACTGGGTCAAAAGGCAGATCCATTTTTAATTTTTTGAGATGTCTTTATATAGCTTTCAACAGTGTCTCACCAGTCTACATTCCTACTGGCAGTGCAAAAGGGTTCCCCTTTCTCCACATCTTCATCAGCACTTGTTATGTGTTAATTTGTTGACAATAAACATTCCAACAAGTGTGAGATGGTGTCTCATTGTGGTTTTTATTTACATTTATCTGATGATAGTGACATCAAGCATCTTTTCATATGTCTATTGGCCATTCGTATGTCCTCTTTGGAGAAGTGTCTATTCAGGTCCTTTCCCCATGTTTTTTTTTTTTTTAATTGTTGTTCAATTACAGTTGTCTGCATTCCACCACCCACTCCCCTCCACCCCAGCCAAACCAACCTCCCTCGCCCTTGGTTTTGTCCGTGTGTCCTTTTTTAGTAGTTCCTGAAAACCCTTCCCCACACTTTTCCCTCCCCCTACCCTCTGATTTTTGTTATATTATTTTTAATTTCAATGTTTTTGGTTATATTTTGTTTGCATTTTTCTTTTATTGATTATGTTCCAGTTAAAGGTGAGATCGTATGGTGTTTTTCCCTCACTGCCTGGCTTATTTCACTTAGCATAGTGCTTTCCAATTCCATCCATGCTGTCCCAAAGGGAAGGAGCTCCTTCTTTCTCTCTGCTGCATAGTATTTCATTGTGCAAATGTACCATAGTTTTTTTGATCCATTCATTTACTGATGGGCACTTAGGTTGCTTCCAGCACTTGGCTATTGTAAGTTGTGCTGCTATGAACATTGGTGTGCATAGTTCTTTTGGATTGTTGTTTCAGGCTCTTCGGATATAATCCCAGCAGTGGAATTGTCAGGTCAAAAGGCAGTTCCATTTTTAGTTTTCTGCAGAAATTCCATACTGTTTTCTATAGTTGCTGCACCAGTCTGCATTTCCATCAACAGTGTACTAGGGTTCCCTTTTCTCCACATCCTCTCCAACACTTGTTTGTTGCTTTGTTTATGATGACCATTTTGACAAGTATGAAGTGGTATCTTATTGTTGTTTTATTTGCATCTCTCTGATGGCTAGTGATGCTGAGCATCTTTTCATATTCCTCTGGGCCCTCCGTATGTCCTCTTTGGAGAAGTGTCTGTTCAAGTCTTTTGCCCATTTTTTAATTGGGTTGTTTGTCCTCCTGGAGTGGAGTTGCTTGAGTTCTTTATATATTTTGGAGATCAAACCCTTGTCTGAGGTGTCACTGGCAAATATGTTTCCCTATATAGTTGGTTCTCTTTTCGTTTTAATGCTGTTTTCTTTAGCTATGCAGAAGCTTTTTAATTTGATGATGTCCCATTTGCTTATTCTTTCCTTTATGTCCCTTTGCCCATGTTTTAATTGGGTTATATATATTTTTTGGCATTGAGTTTTGTAAGTACTTTGTAAAGTTTGGATTTTAACCCCTTATCTGATGTATTGGCAAATATATTCTCCCATTCCATGGGTTGTCTTTTTGTTTTGTTGATG